ACAAGATACGTCTCCGGATACTGTGTGCGAGTCAACTCTTCGGTGTAAAACGTACCCTGAATGGGATTTCCCTGGTAATCTTCCAAATAATATATTGGCGGCAATGTACGTTTGACCTTGATTACAGTGAACAGTTCACTGCTCCAGTTGGGCAAATAGCCCTTGTCAAACACGGATTTCGTTTTGCTAATTCTCACTTTGTCGCCTACTCGAAATTTAATTGGTAAATAATTGGGTATTTTTCGTAATTTAATGCGCACTGCACTGGGATTCCGAACGGTTTGTGCCGGTATCATGCCAATAGTTTTGTGTACGTGTTTGTTGTTATAATCGTTGACCAGATTTGGTAACATACCCAACCATTTGTATGATCCTCGAGCTGTAAAATCAAGCCACATTAACGTCTTCAGCGTGCGATTAAAACGTTCCACGAGACACGCTTTTAACGTTGTAAACGTTGAATAATGATGAATCCCATACCGTACCATTAACGCCTGGAATTGTTTGTTGTAGAACTCGGTACCACGATCGGTTTGCAAAAGTTTTGGTTGGTATCCAAGTTTCAGGATGTCTGCCATNGAAGTTTCAGGATGTCTGCCATTGTGGTTGTTACATCTCGTGCTGTTTTACTTTTCAGTGGTACGGCCCACGCGTATTTCGTAAAACCGTCCACGCATGTTGAAATGTACCGGTAACCACGATCTGCGTACATAGTCATCTTCACTAAGTCGGCATGCCATAAATCATTGATTCCCTTAATATTTATACGCCGTCGTATATACGTTTTCCGACCCGGACGGTGTAGTTCGTGTGCAATTTTCGTTTTCATAATGTAGACGGTATGCCCGCAATGTATCCAGCTTCGTGTAGTTCTTCTAGTATGGAAATAATCTCGGGAGACACTCCACTGTTGCCGGCAGACTGAGCCGATACAAGCAACTTCAAACGTTGCACAAGTTCATTGTGGTCGTTCCAATATAAGTACTCTTTCTTGTCGTTTCCACTGTCGTTGACTTTCAATTATAAACCCGACCCCTTGATATCATCGAACATTGGTTCGATAATTTTCACATACTTAGCGCCGCCTTTTTTTAAACGTCAAATTTCAATTTAAATGAGCACCGGTTTCCTCCAGTATTGTCTTGTACGTTTCCAAATCACTATCGTTGTATGTGATAGGATTTTTCGAAAATAATAAATTAACGAGGCCCATCGACGATGGATATTTTATTCCGTAAACACAAACACTATCTCCATTTACGATTATATCATTCGTATCGCCCATACTTAACGTACCATCCGGTTGGATTTTCGGGCCATACACTTTATTTCTATTTGGATTTTTAGTCCATTGTTCTATTAGATGCGTTAAAGATAACTCTGAAAAACTGTTACCTTCAGAGTCAAATTGTTGTTGTTGTTTCTGTGTATTAGCATTAACGGCGGTTGCATTAGAAATTTTATTCAATGGTTCGATTATAGGTGCTAGTTTTTGTTGAAAGTTAGTCATCGTCTCCGATTCATTACGACGCAACTCTGTGTATTTTCTTCTAATATTCTCTCGGGTTTGATCCAATAATTTCATCGTGGATTCTTTTTTCTTTTTCTCATTATTATTATTATTATTTTCAGCATTCATATTGTTACATACGTATCAAACTTATACCTGTATCGACCACTGTCACGTGCGAAATCCGTACATATTACTGCGAAGCCATATTTATCATTTTCCTAAAAATGTCTGCAAAATTCTTTGAATACATTAAATTTCATATCACAACACACGTATTCATCGAACGCGTGTCGCAAATTGACTTCGTCTTGTCGAAACAACAACACCACATTTGCATTATCTCGCAACATTTGTTTTTGTATGCGAGACAGAGTCTGTGAGAGGAAAAAGACATCAACCCTTTTATGTCGACCGCGTGCGAAATAATCGCACATTACATTCTGTTTTTCCATGACCACATCGTCAAAAATAAACACCGAATTGGGTAGAACCAAATCCACGTGTGGTACATCATCGCCATTTTCAAATGTGAACAACTAATTCCTTCGATTCCTTTCAACACTTGAATTAAAAATTGATATTTCTATTGACCCAAAGACTTGGAATATATATATACGTTTTCAAATCTCAAACCATTCGAATCGCACAAAAGTGTAAAAATTAAATTGGTTTTTCCACAATTTGACGGTCCGCATATGATAGCTCGTATAGTGTTTGGCAATAACTTTCCATGTTTATACTGTTGATGTAGTTGTTGCAAATCTGCTGGATCGTCAAAATTGACAACGGCTAGCGTTTCGTTCTGTTTTTCAAAACGCATCACAAATCATTTATTTATTTTTCTATTATAATTATTATTAATTATATTAATATTTAAACAGTAACATATCTTCTTGTGCTACTGAAAATGTTATGGTTTATTAAATTTTGTAATCTTTTGTTTTCCTTTTATACTTTTTTCACTATCACCAGAGAGCTCTTTTGTTTGTTTATTTTATACTTTTTTTTACTTTAAATATAATAGAAATTTGTATTTTCACTTTAAAAGTGAAAATGAAAGAGCAACGGTCGCAACGACGTCGTGGTGTACGACGGAAACGAGGTTCCGGTATTGTAAACTCAGTAATTAACAGTCTTCCGTTCGAAGCTCACGTGCCAGGATGTCAGTTCGCGGGCCCCGGAATTAAATTACAAAAACGTTTGATTCGTGGTGACCGTGGTATCAATCCATTGGATGCAGCATGTCGTGAACACGATATAGCATACGCCAAGAGTAATTCTCTTAAGGACCGTCATCACGCCGATAAAATTTTAGAACACCAAGCGTGGGAACGAGTGCGTGCCAAAGACGCGAATTTATCAGAACGTGCAGTGGCTTCGGGTGTGACAATGAAGTTGAAACGCAAACTTGGTATGGGATTCAAAATAAAAAAAAAAAAGTAAAAAAGTTGTGCCAAATTTACAAATTACAGCACAAAAATCACTGCTTGCAGCCAAACGCAATATTAAGATTAGTCCCATGCACATACTTCGCATAATAAATATCCCGAAAAGCGGAGGAGTGTTACCATTAATTCCTATTTTTGACGGGCTGTCGGCACTAGGAGCATTGGCCGGTAGTGCTGCAAATGTTGTAAAGGTTGCCAGTGAGTTCAACCGTAGGGGTCGGACCGGTGTTAAGGTAGGAAATGGAATGTATATTCGTCCATACGGTACCGGATACAAGATTGATAAAAGAAAGCAAACAAGTAAAAATAGAGAATAAAAAAAATGAACAAAAAGTGTAAATACAAAACAAAAAAACTAATATCTCAGCTACCCAATCGTGCGTTATTTGACGATGAAATAAAAAATTTCGCACGTCACGTGCTCGATTCTCATGTATTTCGCGGTGTATTTTGTCTTGATACGCTGCCCCGTACACCACCTCGTATAAACGAGATGGGCGTAATAAATTTGGATTTATCGAGCAATCGTGGCACTCATTGGGTGGCTTACAGTAAACGTGGTAATCACATAAAGTACTTTGATAGTTTTGGCAATTTACCTCCTCCATTGGAAGTAATGCGGTATTTTAAAAGATGTACTATCACGTATAACTACAGAAGCTATCAGACATTTGACCAGATCAATTGCGGACACTTAGCGGTAAAGGATCAATAATCGAATGTAATTTTAATCCACACATCGATGTTTCCGATAATTGTGAAATCGGACTGTTAAGCTTACACACTTGGAACACGATGCCAAACATTGATGAAAGTAATAATGTAATTGTTTTTTCTAAGCCCGGTCATGAACCCATACTTACGGTAACACTGCCCGTCGGAACGTACGAAGTGGAAGATTTAAATAATTATATTGCCGAACGGTACAAAAAAATTTCATTTCAATACACAATTATTGAAAAAAATGAAGATATAAGAGTGACTTCGTCGTTTAAACTCGTAGTGAACCACGTGACAATGCATTGTGAAATATCGTGTGGACATCCAATTGATTTCACTCGACCAAGATCTTTTTGTCGTTTATTGGGTTTCAATCCTCGACATTTGGACACTAATAGTATAAACATATCGGATTATCCAGTATCCATAACAAGTATTACATCTATTCGCGTAGACTGTAATGTTATTGTAGGTTCATTCCACAATGGATCACAATCACATACGTTACATGAATTTTCTCCCAAC